ATTGTATGGAATTAACACCACCGGCCAGATACTGTAACTTGTGCTCATGTTTCCGAAGGGATTAAAACCATCGGTTGCCAATGCAAGACGTACATTTCTAGGATCATTGGCAAAGTCTGGAAATTTCGCATCAAACGCTTTCCACGCCTCCGAGTCTCGTGGGTGCCTAACCTACCATCTAGATTTTCCTCAGTCGCGTGCCACCTCATGTGCTGAGCCATTTTTGATGACATATACATTCTTTGCAACCGTGGTTTCAAAGGAAAGTATCTAAGAAAATAATATATTAAAAATTTAAAATACCGAATATTTAAATACTAAATATTGACTCAATTTAAAAAAATTGATGACATAATCAATTGTTTTAAGAATTTCAAATATCGAATATTTTTAGAGACGGAACAAGTAACACGCTGTAATAATTTGTACCTGAGAATTTTGGCCGGTTTCTTCTTTTGCTTCTTGCCCTTCCGTACCGACTTATAGCGTGACGTCTTGCATCTCGTACAAATCTCTTTGTTGGCATCATCTCCCCAGTATAGCATACAGTCGTTTGGGCATGCATCTATCTTCTTATAGTTCAAGCCAAGCTTGTTAATAATCTTTTTTGCTTCGTAAAAAGATGGAGGGAATTCCGCTTGGGGGAAAGCATCTCCCAGTAATTCCAGCAACATAGACATCGCCTTGTCAGTCATACCGCACAAGCATTTGATGTGATATAGCCTCACCAAGAATGACAACTTCGAATACTTTGTACACCCAGAATAAAGAGGCTTGTCAGCTTCGGTCATGAGGTCAAAAAATTCCCGAGCAGTTTCGTTTCTTAGAAACTCCGGTTGAGGTCCCTCTACTTCATCTTCGTTGGGATTCGAGCTTTCGTGAACACCAAAAGCATCACGCACAGCATCATTCACGGCATCGGCTTCATCCACTCGAACTCCCATCCGTGAAACTACTGGAACTGACTCAGCACCCATATCTAGCCGTTCCCCATGTAGTTGCCAAAATACGTACTCTCGCGGAAAAGGCTTAAAGATTAAATGTTCCCTAACAATATCTTTGGGATGCCACTTTTTGAAATTACATTTAGGACAGGGACACTGAATCTTACCATTTACGGCAGCATTGGCTAAAGCAAAATCCAAGAAATAGTTTAGACCAGCCAAGTATTGCGGAGTCGACCGGTGCAAGTTGATCCACGACCTATCCATCACTAATAATGCTCAAATTTCGTGAAAATATGACACAGAGCTCAAAGAGAAGTTAAAATGGAATTCAGTTGGAGTGTTTCAGCTTATAAAGGAGGCTGGTGGAACGGTCATTTTTTTGTAGCGGTTACAACACCGCTACAAATTTGTAGCGGTTTTAACGGAAATTTTCATTTTCCAGCGGTTATTAACCGCTAGAAATTCTAAATATCGGTTACAAGCCGATAGAAATTTCTAGCGGTTTAACGGGATTTTTGTCTCCATCGGTTTTGAATTTTCTAGCGGTTATAAAACCGCTAGAAAAATAGGTAAAATTTGGCAATTTTCTAGCGGTTCTTGTAAACCGCTAGAAAATGAGTTAATTTTCTAGCGGTTTACAAGAACCGCTAGAAAATTACTCCTTTTCTAGCGGTTTATAAAACCGCTAGAAAGTTTCACGATGGTTAAAATTCAGTTGAATTTTCTAACGGTTTTGGAACCGCTACAAACGATATTATTTTTAAATATTAAATAGAAATACTGCACAATAAATTAATAACATTATAAAAATAAATATTTATTAAATTAATAAATGATTATAGAATTATTTTGATTAATTAACATGTTTAACGTGTTTAATAAATTGTAATGTTGATGTTGTAATAAATAAATAAATATTTCAATATTAATTAGTACTTGACATAAATAAAATTATAGAAATAAATCAATAAAGTAAACAAATAAATATAAAATTTAAATAAATATCTAAATAGTATATAAAACCGTAAAATCAAGATTCTAATAAAATCCCATACAATGAAAGCAAGATAAATCATGGGTAGGGGGTAGAAGCAGCATCATCGTGATCATCCTCTGCTGGATCCTCCGGCTGGGGGTGGGCAGGCCGCTCAACCTGCTGGGACTGGACTGGCGGATGGGGGGTAGGGGCGGGACTGGTGGCAGGTGTAGGTCGGGGATGTCAGGAACCGAGATGTTTGGAGCTATACTGACCACCACATGACGCAGAGCCATAGCAGCTGCCAAGAGCTGGTCAAGCTGCGTCTGGAGCTGACGATCACGCTCCTGCAGCTGACGATCACGCTCCACGATCCTGGCCTCCATCCTGGCCTCGAACTCTTGTCTGAGCTCCTCTCGCAATTCCTCTGAGGATGAGGAACCCGGCCGCTTCGCACTCGCATGAGAGCTCCCAGCAGTATATGAAGGGCCAGCGCCACTTGAGCGGGGCAACCTAGTCGGTGTAGGTCCAAGTCCAAGCCCGCTAACTCGACCAGGGTGCTGCGGCCGGCCACGACCCGCTAAAAGTGAGGCGGTGGGATCCAAGGCAGACCCCTGAGACTCACGCAACTCGGAATCGACCTGAGTCATCCGTGCCTACCAAAATTAATATAAAGAAGTTAATTATAATATAATGATATCTACACTGTGATATTATATTAATATTTAATTTATTACTTACCGCTATCTCCTCAACCTCATCCGACGCACGCCCGTCTCGGGGTCTATACACCATCGGCCACATCTCGCCATAAGTGGCCGTGTATCCCCGCTCCTGCCGTATCTTTTCCCTCTGTAAATGAAATCAAAGAAATAATTAGTTACAAATTAAATACATATACATATTTAATAAATTTATTTCAAGTACTCACAATCTCGTCATAAGTGATCGCAAAGCTCCTGGATCCAGTCCTATGACGTATCGTCTGATGCCTGACGCTCCCAGCATTTCTCCTAGAAAGAGCCTGAAGCAAAATGTAAAAAAATTAAATTAAATGAGTCAAGTCGGATAAAAAATAAAGAAATTATAATTAATACAATATTATCATACCATCTGGTCAGCCGTCATCCTAAAATAGACGTAACTGGACCAGTCTTGGTCCGGGACTCCACCAGGTACATCTGCCAGTATCTCCTGGAGGGGCCTCGTCCCGTCACCTTTCTTCTCCCTCCACAGGTCGGCCCTCCTGTTCTTCCATGCCATCCCAAGCCTCTTGATCGTGTCAGCCCTCAACTCCTCCCCCAGAATAAATTTATTCTATGATTAAAATAATAAATTAACTAAATAACAAATTATAAACAAATAATTAAGCAATTTCAATAATCAAAAACAAATAATTAGTTTTTAACTAATTTAAGAATATTATAAATAAAATATAAATTAATCAAAAACAAATAATAATTAAACAATTAAGTAATTTAAATGAAAAAATATTTTTACTCAACTAAATTTAAAATTATTATAAGTAATAAATTAATGAAATCAATAACAAATTATTTTCATTTAACTACTTTTAAATAATTTAAATAAAAAATATATATATTCATTTAACTACTTTTAAAAATATTATAAATAACAAACAAATTAAATAAATAAAAAATTATAATCAAACAATTAAATTATTTGAAAACAAAATATATAATCATTTATTTAAATTAAAAAAAATTATAAATAACAATTTTATATTACCTTCATCATTTCCCAACCTTGCTGCTTCTTGTCTGCGGTGATCTTCTTCCAGTCCTGCACGTAGATGGGGAACAGCGTCCACTGCTGACCAAGGAGGCGCACGTACTTGTTGTACAACTGGCCACCTTTCTTCGTCGGTTGGCCCAACTCATTGAGCGGCACAACCACTCGTCCGCTCGTCATCATAGACAGCTCTCTGGCTGTCAGCCTCCGATAGGACCTGTTCCCCTCAGTGTCTGCAAAATTTAATTAAGAAATAAATTATATATCAATAAATTAATATAATTTCTATATAAATTAAATACTGATCAAAATTTTAAAAAGTTAAATAAATACTTACCGACAAATTCCACCTCATAACCAGCCTGACGTCTCGGAGTAGGACGCTGCGCAGCCTGGGGATACTCATTCCCCTGATCCTGCTCCTCCTCCTCCTCCTCGTCAGCAGCATCAGCATCAGCATGGGGTTGCTCATCCCCAGTAAAATGAGCCTCCTCAGTCCGCTCAACATCATCCTGCTCTATAAAACTGAGGATATCCTCCTCGCTAAGATCGTAGTCATGAATGCTGGGGAATGGCTCACCAGCATCATGATGAACCTCACTGGGTCCAGCTCTCTCAGGATCAACTGCGTCTTTCCCGTGTCGACGAGTCATCCTAATAACAACAAATAGTAATTATTTATAAATAAAATAAAAAGAAAAATTATTTATAAGCTACAACATAATAAATTAAATAAAATAAAAATTATTTATCAATAAATTACTATTTTTACCTGAAAATAAGGATCTGCAACTGAATCAAAACTCGAATATGTTTGTGGAGAAAATTCTGCAGAGCTTCGCTTCCAGAACGATTGAAGAAGTGAGAGTGGGGGGGGGTTATATAGACCGAGAATTTCTAGCGGTTCGGTCCAAAACCGCTAGAAATTTCTAGCGGTTTTGGACCGAACCGCTAGAAATTTCTAGCGGTTTTGGACCGAACCGCTAGAAATTTCTAAACTCCTCGGGGAATGAAAAATATTTCTATCGGTTCATATATCAACCGCTAGAAATTTTCAATGTCTAGCGGTTTATTGGCCTTAACCGCTAGAAAATAACCGCTACAAATTTGGCGCCAAGTTCCCGCCAAAACCCACGGGATTTTCTAGCTCTAAGTTTCTAGTGGTTAGGTGGTAACCGCTAGAAATGTGCGGGCAATGGTCAAACCGTCTGTATTTTGCAGCGGTTTTTAGAAAAACCGCTAGAAATATTTGGAATTTCTAGCGGTTTTGTTGAACCGCTAGAAATGTTCCGCTGCTACTTCAACATTTTCTTGTAGTGTAACCGCGGAAGAAATTGTGGAGATATTAATGAATCACAAAAAAGTAAAATAATTCTAATGAAAACAAAAAATTCCATTCACAAGCTATGAATGACTTGTTGCCATCTTAATGATGAATGGCAAGCAACGTACGTGCCTTTGAACCAAAACACACAAACAAAATACGAAAAGCAAACTTTTCAAAGCAAGTATCAATGGAATATAAAATCAAGTTTGAATTAAGGGCACTGGAAGCCAGAGTTGTTCATTCCACAGTTGTTAAGAATGACGCTCAAAGAAATTGGAATGTTGAGGTTGATGCCAAGAACGTTAGCCTTAAGGGCAGTGCAAAGGCAAGCGGCAACTTCAAGATCGACCAAACCCTTAAGGAGACTGCAACATGGGAGAGTTGGTGGTGAGCCAACCTTAACATTCACCAAATTCAACATATTGGCGCACACGCCCAACTTAAGGGCATCGATAGGGCAACGGCCATTGGAAGAGGAAGGTGACGAAGGAGAAGAAGGCTTTGGTTTCGAGGATGACGATGGTGGGCATGGAGTAGCAGAGCTGGCCATGGCGAAGAAAAGAAGGTTGAGAGCTAGGAGAAGAGGGATTGCGAGAGCCTTGGAAGCCATATTCTGCACAAAGATAACACTAAAGTGTTTATTATTATCAAGATTGGCTTGAGGGTTACTGATTTTGGGATGAAGTTTGAGAAGGCATTGGAAGGGGATTTATAGTTGGGGATTTGTGGGTTTGTGTTGTATTTTAGTTTCAAATTGTTTGGTGTACCATGTGGGCACGTTGGGATAAAAATTGTCGTGTAATATCTAAAAGGCTGGCTAGGGAATATACGGTAGTTGTCCAATTGTCGTGTAATGAAGTTACACTTCTTATTGGTTTAAATTTTTAAATTCTCATATTTTCAAAACATTTGTGGCTTCTTTTATTTTGATTATGTTAAAGGAAACATAATTATGATCCGGATTTCAGATTTAAGGAAGTTCTCTTTGATGGAAATAAGACTTCGAGAACGACGATCAGTTTCGGTCTCGGATCTCATGACGAAGTTTTTTATATGCTCATCATACAAGCAGGAAACCTTTTTGTCATGATTCGTGGAAAGACATTTGGACTTTCAGTTCCATTTTTAACTGATGAGTTATCTGTAACTGCGAATATTTGCTTTTCTCTTTTATTTCTATTTTACCGTCAGATTTAAGATTGTCAAATTTGAGAGTTTAAGCAAACTCACAATTGTACTATAAACTCGAATCGTAAACTTGTAAGAGTTGATTTTTATTTATAAATTAGTATTAAAAGTATATAATTAAATAATTAAAATAAAAAATGATAACAATTTCATTTAAATATATTTTAAATTCAAATAATTGCCAATGGCCTTATAGCCTAGTGGCATGCTCTCATTGTAAGTGAAATGTTGTGGGTTTAATCCTGCTTGTATAATCTTAAGCTGTTCATGCCCCCCCTTTAATTTTAAAAAAAATCAAATAATTGAAATTAAATTCATCAATATTCACAATTTATTATATTCAACAAAGAAATTTCCATGAAATTCATATATAAAATCATTAAACATAAATAAATTCAAAAATTTAGCATGAGTTTGGTGATGAGTTGACATGATTTTATAAGCTAAAAACGTAAAAATAGTAGACTTGGTGAGTGATCTCATAAATTTAATCAAGTTTACGGCTAGTAGGAGTTTAAAAACAAGTCGACACGATTTTGTAAGTTGAAAATATAAAAAAGTTAAACTTAGTCAACTTAAATTTTAACAACAATGGTCAGATTCAGCTGATCTTAATGCGTTGCAACCAAAACTTCTTTGTTGAAATGCATTGCTTCATTAATGAAAATTGTAACATTAAATGTGAATTATGAATTATTGATATGAAATCACGGGTTACATTTGAACATGTTGGGTTGGAATAAACATTTCTTGTGCACAATGAAAATCTCAACACAATCCATACCATGTGGATGTTGGTTGGCCACAGGGCCCGCCTATAAGCCCATCTCTCTTGTACATTTTAATAATTTTTAAAACTCATATAATCCATATAACTTATTTTAATGCTTGTTTGTCTCCAATAAAGATAATTACTTTTGCGCTTTATATATAAGACAAAACCAGTGTCATATGTATATATACGGATGTTTTAAAAGCCAGATCGAATATCAATTTCAAATTTGAAAGACTAATATGGGGCTTATTTTTTATAGTTCAATTAGTTAGATTGGAAGTCAAATTTGCAGCGACGTAGCAGCAATTAAATAAAAATAACATTATATACATGTATAGTAATAAATGTGAAAAAAAATATTGATACAGTTATAATTTTAATGATGAATCAGAGAGGATTGCATGAAAAATTACAATTATGCTAGGAAAAGATAAAATGATTATGAAAAGTTACGGTTATTAAATAGGCACAAAATATTAAACCTGTGATTATGCCATTGCAATGGTTGTGTCGAGTAATAAATAGTCAGTAGTGTATCATTTCTATTGAAGAACTTACATATTGGTCCTGTTTGGTACGAAACATTAAAAATGAAAAATAAGGACTATGATTGTAACTAAAAAAATATTAAAAAAGTCTTTAGTATGAGTAATTGCTTGTTACATGAGATTAGACAAACCCATGCATGAAAGTGGGATTGGGGAATACCATTTTCCCTCATAATATTCTCCAATCCCACATATATAATTTTGTCTAATCCTATATCATAAACAATCTCTCATGTTAAATATTATTTTCTCAATCTCAATCCTAATTTCAATTTCTCATTTCTAATATTTCGTACCAAACGGTACTATTAAGTTTAGCGTGGTAGTACACTACTCACTAGATTATGCAATTTCAAGCCCACACGAAAGCTAATAACTTGAACTTGGTAGGAGTACACCAAGATGACCATATCCAATTGCCCAACACAACGATATTATACAAAGGAATGGTTTGAGCCTAAATCAAACATTTCTTTTGCTTGAAGATCATTTACCTTAATCACACTTGATCTTTATGCATCAGAGCAAACTCTTCCTTTTGGCTTTAGGGTCTTTTTTATTGTTTTTTTTTTTCCACTTGGCTTGGCTTTAGTGTCTAAGACCATATGATCCCTTTGTGCATTGTCTAGTGTAACACACTGGATTTTAGATAGATAGATAAATTAAAAGGTTTGTAAACTGCTTTGGGAGCCAAAGATAAATGGTTAAAAGTTAAAGGCTCACAAAAAAAATAAATTACCCAAAAAGCCTATTTACTGTTGAAATTGAAGGTACTAAAGGGACATGATTGTTTAAATTATTCAAAGGTTAAGAAAATTAAGGAAATACTGTGGAAGGTTATTTTGGAATTAGAAAGGTAGCAAAAATGTCAAACTCCCAAAATTCGTAAAAAGACAAAAAAAAATACTCTTATTCATATGGTCATTCGGTCACCACATCAGGTTATTAGAGAAGTCCCTAGCATTCAATTTTTTTTATCTATAACTAGTGATAAAAATAGACCAAGCGACCCGTCAGAAGCCTGTGCCCTAAAATAAGAGTAGGCCCAAGCTTTTTTTAAAAGCCTATTTTGCTTAACAAGCTAAGCCTAGGCCTTATGAGAAGCCTATTAAGCCTATATATAATGATGTGTTTAAAAAATACAATAATATTAAATAATATCAATTGATAATTAAATTATTTTGAGAAAAATGATTTACCAAACAAATTTATTATATATCACTTAATAATTATTGAAACAACGTATAAAAGCATTAAAACAGAATTTAATAAAAGTATTATGCAAAATGTAATACTGTTTTGTACTCCCTCTGGTCTTATATGTAAGCTTCAAAATTAGAAAAGGGTGTAGTTCATTTTAAAAGCTTTAATTTAGGTTTGTTTTAATATTTAATGTATTTTTATGATATTTTTTATAATTATTTCTCTCTTATCACACTTTTCTATACATTTGTTTATTCTTTTTCTCATTTATTATAAGGATATATTTAGAAAAAAATATATTTTTAAACATATTTATAGTTTTTAATTAATTTTAAGTATTTATTTATTATTCGTGAATTAGTTATTTAAATCTTATAATAAGGATTGAAATGAGTATATTATTAATATTGATATATTCGAAGTTATAATTTACCTCCCAATTTTCCCGCACTTTTTTATGTCATCACGTTTTCCCAAGTCTATTTTCGTTTTGAAGTTAATTGCACGCACACTCACATTTACTCTTTCTTCATGATTCCCTCCTCCCCTCTTTCTTCTTTTTTGGTTTCCTTCTCTCTTTCTTCCTTTCCATTTCTTCTTCCAAACCTTTTGTTTTGTTTTTTTTTTAAATAAGAACCTGCGAAAGCGGAGAGAAGAGCATAGATCAAGGTTGCAGTTGCGGAAGGAAAAACTTACAGGGCTGAGAGGAAAAGACCAAAAAAAGCTTTCTCTAGTAAGAAAAAAGGAGCAGGACTTACTTTTTCCAGACTAAGTACTCCATTAATGATGACCTCTTTAAAAAAAAGGGAAGTCCATTTTACTTTACAAGAATAAAGTTTACAGAGAAATATAATGTCATGTCATCTGTTGCAATTTAGGACAATCAGTATTGTGTATTTGCTAGAAAAAAGAGATAACTCAATCAATCATTTCTCACGCATTTGTTTACATGCAGCTTTTTATTGGATTATTCACAGAAGGCACATTCATAACATTGCACAGGATTCTTTAGAAATCATTTGCATCAACAAAAGGAGATTTAATTTGGCAACCTTGCATCATCATTAATCTGTTATTTGGCAGTATTAAAGCAAGAATGATGTTGTCTAGGTTTTTTAGGGAACACATTCCATGCTTGTCACAATGATGAACATGGAGTGTTCATCGCAATTTGGACCATTCAAATCAATTTTTGATGATTCAAATTGAATTTAAATTTTTTTATATATTTTAATTAAATTTTTGTTTTAATAGATACAAAATTTAAAATAAATATAATATCATAACTAACATATCTTTAAAAATAATTTATCATTAAAAAAATTGTATATTAAAAATTTTAAATACGAGCCATCCATATTAGATTTTGAACGGTTTAAATTGTATTACAGTGATGAGCATATGGTACTCATCGTTATGATGAGTACCAAATGAAGATCAGTTTTTCTCATATTTCTTCTTCTGTGGCACTCTCCTCTGTTTTTCTTTCCATAATTTCTAATCATGTAGGTCCATACTATGAAGAGATTATGTAAGCTTATCCTCTTTTTAACATCATTTTGACTTTCATAAAAAAATAATTTTAAAAATAATTTATGGAAATTAAGGGCATATTTTCTTAAAAACTTCATGTAAAATAGCAGAAGAATGACTTTTGGCCTAAAGTTTTGGAAAACTATTTTACAAGGTAAATAAGCTAATTAGGGAAGAAAATTCATATAAAATATTAAGGACTTTGAGATTTATTTAGTAATAATTAAGTAATTAGGGAAGAAAATTCATATAAAATATTAAGGACTAATTTTTGAGATTTATTTAGTAATAATTAAGTACCAATGAAGAAGGGATTACAATAGCAAAATTATGATCCTGAGCCCAAAAATAGATTTAGGCTAAGATTAGGCCTAATTCTTGAAGATCAAAATGTGCCCCG